TCAGAGTATGTCTTATTCCCCAGCCAGAAGTTCAGGTTGAGAATTTTCTCATTCCCCTGCAGAGTTTCCTTTTAAGACTTCTCTTATTCTCCGATGAAGTCGCTTCGTGAAGATTTATTATCCAAGACCTATTTCATCTCCCCTGTGAAGTTGCCTTTTGATGTTTTCTTATTCAAGAATTCTCTCACCTCCCCAGCGGAAGCTTATATTGAGACTCCTTATGCTGAAAACCTATTCTCATTCACTAGTCAGGTTTGTTTGAAAAATTGTTCACTTTTCTGAGTTGAGTCATGTTGAAGCTTTACTCGCACCTCAAAAGATACTCTTTCTCGAGGATTTCTTATTCAAGAATTCTTTCATCTCCCCAGCTAAACTACCATTTGGAGATCATTTACCCAGGGATTCTCATTCCCCCAGTTAAGTCGTTTCATTTGGAAGTTCTTATTCAAGAATTCTACCTTTTCCCCAGTAGAGTCTGACTCTGGATGATGATGAGTTCCATATCCCCAGAGAAGTGTGTTATCATGAATTCTTATCCGAGGTTTCTCATATCCCCGACATGATCACTCCTTTTGAAGATTGTTCGTAAACCCCCAATTGAGCTTCTTATGCCAAGATTATCTTCTCTTCAGCAAGAGTTCTGCGCACAAGTTCTCTTATCTCCATTTTGGATTTTCATATCCTCATAAGAATAAGTTTTTGTCCCCAGGTGAGAGATCGACAATTTATTCCTCAAGTAATTTAAGGTGGATTTTGTTTCCCTACAGGCTTCATTTTGATGACAACCTTTCCAACGACGCCCATTTTTCCATTGGTGTGTTTCTAAGAAGTTACAGTTTTGCCCTGATCTTCTCCAACAACGTCTGATCTCTATTTAGTGTTCCCCTTCAGAATTTACAGTTTCTCCCGTATATTCTCCAACAGAGTTTATAACTTATTTTTGCAACTTCTCTCGATGTTCGTAGCCCATTTCCACCAGCTAATCAGTTGTTACTCCCCAAAGGGTTTCGTTTTGTTTTTCAAGGGTTTCTTTTCCAATGGATTCTTATATCATATCTTCTCTCCAGCAGATTTTGGCAATTCATTTTTGCAAGACCTGTCAGGTTTTAGCCTGTTGGTTGTTGGTTTCTCGTTTGGATATTCCCTGGTGAAACATTTAGTCATGCATCACCGCATTGCATCCTCAAAGTGTATTGTTTCCACTCTCTTCTGGAACATTACTCCATAAAAAAATAATATATAATAATTCAAACATGCATTAAAACATAAGCCATTATTGTTTCTACTTTTCCCCAGCAATTAGCTAAACTTCAGATTATATTCCCCGCGAGGTCTTTATCCCCAGTATCTCGGTTTTACGCCATACAAATATCTTGTTGATGCTAATCATCTGAATGGTTGAGTGTCTACTCAATATTGTTGACTGTGGCCCAATTTTACCTTGGCTCGGTTTTCTCGAGTTTAGTATTCGCTACCCTTGTTGGTTCATTTCAATGTCTATTGATAAACATTTTGAATACCAGTCTCGCCCTGATATTCGTTTTCAGTTTAGTTTCGTCTAATCTTCTTAAGCTGAGTTTTTACTCGTTATTTGCCTCTATGACACCTTGGCTTCGTTCAGCATCGTTTACTGTCTACCTTTGGTTGAGATCTACAAGTGTTTTAGAAGTACGCTCTAATCCATTTGCCTTGGGTCTAGTTTTGTCTCGTTACTCGCGCATGAAGTCCAGTTTTCGTTCTGGTACTCATCTAGTTTGTTTTGTTCTAACTAGTCTCCATGAGTCGAATTTTATCTCGTTTCGTTTCTTACTCCTGAGATTCTTTCAGTTCCTTCGTACTGTCTATATTGGGTTGAAACCAGTCTCTTTTATAACTTTTGGGTTCTTTTAGTTCCTTCTTACTGCCTACCCTTAGTTTGAGACTAGCAAGTGTTCTGAGAAACATGCGCTCTCATCACTTTGCTTTGGGTCGAGTCTCGATCTCGTCGCCTGTGCATGAAATCCGGTTGTCGTTCTGGTGCTTATCTAGTTTGTTTTGCCTAACTAGTTATAATGAGTCGAGTGTCATATCGCGTTGTTTCTTTCCCTGGACTTTCATATTGGTGTTCGTTTACCGTGTCCCTAGTTGAAACCATACCTCACTACTTGGACATTTATCAGTTTTTTATTATTGAACCTTTGGCAGTATTTGTTTACTGCATTTCAGCGTTTGTTTGTTGTGTCCACTAGTTAAAGATGTCTCTTATATACCTATTTGGGTTCTAAGTCAGTTTTCTTTTACTGTTTACCTGTGGTTTGAGATCAACAGGTGCTCTGAGAAATATGCACTCTCACCACTTTGTTATGGGTCGAGTTTTGCCTCGTTACCCGTGCGTGAAATCTAATTTTTGTCCTGGTACTCGTTTTAGAAAGTTTTGATCTTCTAGTTTTTTCGAGTCAAGTGTTATCTCATTTATGTCTCTTACTCCTTGGATCCTTTCAGTTCCTTCATACTGTCTATTCTTTGTTGAGACCAGCATGTGCTCCTAGAATCCCGCACTCTAGTCACCTTGCCCCGCGTACTTTTTCAGGGTTTAGTTTTGTCTATTCTCCTTGGTTTGAGTTTTATCTCACCCCTGTGATCCGGTTTTATCCTGACACATTCTTTCTAGAGTTTAGTTTTGTCTATTCTCCTTGGTTTGAGTTTTATCTCATCTTTGTTGAATTTTATGTTCTAGTTTTATCCTGGCGCATCCTTCTGAAGCCTAGAATCATCTAGTCGTCTCAGGTTGAGTTTCGTCTTAATTTTTTGATTTGTATCCCAGTTTTGTCTTGACACTTTCCTTTTGAAATCTAGTCTTATCTAGTCTTCCTAGTTTGAGTTTTATCTCATGGTTAAGAGTTAATACATGTGTTCCAGTCTTTCCCTGGCCCATTCTCCTAGAATTTATCATCATTATTTTCTTGTGTTTGGTGTCATCCTTGCAATATACAGTTACCAGTGTTTTTGTGCTTCTATTTTATTCAGAGCGTAAATTTTCGGGTTCTTTTAGTATTCAATCCTCTTCCACCTTGAACGTTCGAAAGCTATCGCGTTTTCTCACTTATCAGGTTTAAGATGATTGAATAGGGGCAGCTGTTGCACCCCAAAATTTTCCCTCTTCATTTTACTTTTGTGGTTTATGTTTCGTCATACACATTCATGCATTTTAAGATGGGATCAAGGTTTATGGTCTTCATGGTTTTCTCCAAGCTATGGAATTTGGTTGTATTGTCAAATAGTCCAAGATGGATTTAATCTCCTCATTATTTTGATCATTCAGGCTATCGGGCTCAGGCCTCATGATATCTCAAGTTGACTTTTTGTTTCATCATAGAATTGGAAATGGATATGATTTTGATTATTGGAATGAATGATTTCCCCTTGACAAAATTCTTAAAACAGTGGCATCATAAGCCTTATCCTAGTACACCAGACATTTTGATTCAAAAGATCAACAAGGTTAGGGTTTTGATCCTAGAGATCTCTTTTCATCAAGCTTAGAGCTTTTCTTCTCCAAATTACCAAGGTTGAAGTAGAGTTCATTTCTCTATACTTATCAAGGGTTTCTGAAGGCATTAAGGATCACATTTCAATCAAGGGAAGTACCTGGTTCCTTCTTGGATCAGGATTGGTGGAAGTATATGTTCATCATGCAAGGTTGGTGTGGATTAGATTTGAATGGAGTTGGAATTCTTGTAAAAAATGCAAGTTATTTGGAACTTATTCATTAAGGTTTCAAGTTTGACAATAAAGCATGGTTTTCACACAAATTGAATTTGAAGTTTCTAAGGCAACGTTGCAAATTTTATTCATGGTTTCAACTACCTTTCAAGGTTCTTTGAATTTGGAATTAAAAGAGTTTTGACATAAAGCTTATTTAACCATTCTATTCAAGTTATATTCATTATCCAAGTTTCATTCAAGTTTTCAAGCAATCCATCACCCATTGTCCAAATATGTCAAACCATGCTTTTATATTACATTGCAAAAATCAAATAAAAAGAGATACAAAGAAAAGTAAATTCTTCTTCAATCTTCAAAATCTCCAAGTCTTCTTGCTTCATCTTCAAGGTTTTTTTGTTCTCACACCTTGCCATGACTTCCTCTTCAAGTCTTTTCACCACTTTCTTTCTCTTCCTCAAAGCTTTCTTTTGCCAATCCTCAAGCTCATGGAAAAAAAACAAAAGAAAAAGAAATTGATTAAAAAATCAATCAAAATTTAAACATGAGCACAAAAGAGCTTTAAAAAAGGGTTTCTTTTAAGCCTCATAAAATTAGAATTTCAAGGTTTAATCATAGGCTTACTTCATCTCATTGCAAATCATAAAAACCATAGGTCTTGGTTCACAATGGGAGGTGCACAATAGTAAAAACTCAGGAGCTACATCATGGTTATACTACAAATCAAACAGATTTATGAAAGCCTCATACATTTGATTCACAACAAATCAGAATTTTGATTCACTCATGGGCTTATTTCTCCTATTTGTAAATCACAAAATTTTGACTTTGGTTCACAAAAAAAGGAGGCTCGGAAAATACAATCAGAATTATCACATTCAAGCAACATCAAGGCCTCAACAATTTTATTCCACACAAGTCAGAATAACATTGTTTTAATCATGGCCCAAATAACTTATATTGCAAATCTCAAACAAAAATCCAAGAAAATGGTTTCATCCGGTTCACACTAAAACAGGGCAAGCATTTTATAAATCAGCAAATGATTCAATCTTCATATTTCATCTCCATCAAATTGAGCTTGCATCAACCTGCTGAAACAAGTAAATCGGTTCATGGAAAAAACAATTCAAAATTGGTTCCCGCATTAACAAATTGCACAACACACAAAAACAGATCAATGTAATTCATAACAGTTGCAAGAAAAATCCAAAACAATTCAAACAGCACATTCCAAATTGCATCCCAATGAGTTTCAGATTCAATTCAGGGGGCGTCAATTCATCATGTTAAGCTAACTAAAAGCGGTATGCAACAGGTTTTAAGATCATATCTGGGGATTTGCTAAGCGATATACTCTCCAGACTTGCCGCATCAGTAACAATGGCATCCAATCTTAACAGAAGTCCAGGCTCTAAAACCAGGTCAGATAACTAACTTCAAAAACCAGCCCCTACATTAACATAACAGTCGGCCTGCATGAAATTGAGAAGGGATTAAGTCAGAAAATTTAACTCAATTATAACAGAAAACTAACTGTAGCAGATTTCCACCTCAGGGTAATTGCTCATAACATAATCCCAAGGCAGTTACGAACATAATTATAACAGAAATTCAGAGGGAAAAGAAAATGGATCTTAACCATTCAATCTCTAATAGAAATTCAAAGATCAAAGGCTAGGATCCAATCTCCTGTAACCAAATTTCTAATCATCCAACAAACTATATAAACAAATCACTCACCTGAGATTGAATCATTCTTCAACTTTCAGAAGAATCACAAGAAATATCTTCAACCTCGACTCTTCTCTCTCTCTGGAAATCCACAGAAAAATCCTCTCCTTTCTCAGCTCCATTCTTCTATCATCTTCATCTTTACCATTCTTCAGAACTCAGAAGAATCGCTACTGAGAGAATCTGAAACTCTTTATACTCTCTTCAAGCAACGGTAACCGAACCTCCATCTTCATCTGTTCACTGTCTTCATTCAACCAAATAATAATAACACCGCATCGCGCTCCTGAACCGAAAATAGCGTCGTCTTCATCCACAGATCGCTCGCTCTTCATCCATAGCTCGCGCGCTCCTCACGTCGCAAAAATAATAACCTTCATCTCTGAAATGCAAGCGCATACCTCACTGCATCGTGAATTTTCACGCCAACGATATCCTCATCTTCATCGCGTATTCAATTTCATCATGTTACTGCATCAACAATAGAGCAAACGCAAACAACACGGACGAATCCGCCGACATCAGACCGCAACAAGAAATGAAATTAGGGGGAGGAGTAAAAGAAAAGTCCATAAGCGATTTAAGTATGGAGATTGTTATCTAAAAAAAGGAGACTCGCTGTTCATCGCTACAGCAACCTTGGGATCTTCTTTTCAGCGTTCGTCGCAGCGAACCTCTGAGTTTGTTAGACTTTTCGGTGTGATCACCGGCCGAGGTTTCACGATGGAAGTAGATGAAAGAGATTGAAGAAGTCGAGGAAGCTTGTTTGCGGATTGAGACAGAGATGAATTAGAGAGAGACGAGATGATACGATCTTCTGCGGTGGTCGGATGTTGATGTTCGGTCGGAGAAGAAAGGTTGAGCTGCAGCGCCGTGAGAAGAAAGGGATAGAGTTCTTGTTCACAAAGAAGCTGAAACATCACAATTCTAAACCATATCCAAGCAAAACACAACGTTTCTCATTCATGGATAATTTTTTTAAAATTTATTTTATTTATTTTATTTATATTTTTATTGAAAATTCTGAACAAAATGTGGTGATGGACTAATGGTTATGCTAGGGGATTGGGTCAAACTCTATGTTCTCCTCAGGCTCGTTATCACTTGTTTTTGTAGCCTGGAGATTACCCAGCAAAAAAATGCTTCTTGGATATTGCTGGTTGGGCTTCGGGACAACTTTTGCAACCTAGACTCTAAATCCATCTTGCACATCCTTTTTGGTTTGGTTAATTGAATTTCCTTTCAATAATTCTACAATTTTTTTCTTGTCATTAGTTTTGAGATCATAAAATTGTAATGAAATGATACAAAAAATAGTAGAATATGCTAGTTGATTTTAAATTTTCTCTTTTAGAATTTAATTGCGAGTTTGTCTTTAATTTCTTTCATATTTCATGATTAATTCTTGTTATTATTCTGGTATTGGTTTTGCAATAACATGTTGATTTGGAATGTTAAGCGCTTGGAGATTAACTCATTTGATCACTTGTGCGAGGTAGCTTCTGTAAAGTTTTTTTTCTTTGCTTGCGTGGCTTTGAAGAGCCGTTAGATATCATCGTGACTTCGTTCTTCGTTTCCGCACTTCACCGCTTTTCTAAATATCATGAGAAGTATGAATTTTTCTGCTTTCTGATGCCATGAGAAGTAGGAATAGAGATGTATGACGGGGGTCTTCGTTGCTGATCATGTCAGGAACTCCTCTGATTTATTTAAAGATCCGTTTAAGGCAATTTTGTCGGTGTCCTAATTGTGTTTGTTTAAAACCCTACCTTTGAAGTAGGTATTCTGCAGGTGTGTTTATATTTGTGCTCGCATATATTACAGATGATAAATCCTCAAAAGGAGGCAAGCGAAAAGGTTTAGTAATCAACCTTCGCACATTCTAGTCCGTGTCATCCTTAGATCATGTTGTACGTCGATGCTCTGGTATACAGATCTTGTTTATCGAGTCGGTCATATGGATAAGGGTTTGATCTCAACCCCCGTCATTTGTCAGGAGTTCGCAATGGCCAATGCTGACACTCTGCTACCCGCTTATTTGCTTCGGGTGATTCGCTCCCCTTAGCTAAAGCATTTCTCTTCTTTTTTATTTCATCTCAGTCTCCCTCTTGCTTGCTTCGGGTGATCCGCTCCCCTTAGCTAAAGCATTTCTCTTCATACCCCCGTGCCCTGAGTCAGTATACTACAATTGTGTGCTTTTGCCAAAGCACTTGTTTGATATGCTATGCTCTCTTAGGATGGCTCGTGTAATATTAGTCCTCGAGCTAGACATTAGGATAGTTATCCATGTATGTCCACTTAGGTAGATATTTCCATTTCAAAATCCAACCATATGGTCATCATTGTATGATAACTTTAGGGCTATTTCGCTAGTCTCCCCCTCAGACTTTTTCTCCCCTTTTGCATCTCATTAAAATTAAACCTTATTTTTCTTTCAAACTTCAAAACAATTTAACAGAATTTAAATCCTTTTCTAAGGTAAAAGATACAAATCAATCTTAATTGTTTGTGTGTCTTTTTGGATTTGCTCTAGACCTTGCTAGGTTATTGTTTTATCATCCTTGTGCCGAAGTTTCGTCATCGCGTATGTTTGTTATCCTACTTTGATTTTCGATATCATTGTTAGGTGTGATGTTTTATCATCTAAAGTTATGATGTTTTGCCATCCATGTTGTGATGTTTTATCATCTGAGTTGTGATGTTTCGTCATCCTTGCCATGATATTTTACTATCCTTTTGCCGATGTTTCGTCATCGCGTATGTTTGTTATCCTACTTTGATTTTCGATATCATCGTTAGGTGTGATGTTTTGTCATCCATGCTACAATGTCTTATTGTCTTTACCATGATGTGTTGTCATCTTTGTTGTGATATTTTACTATCTTTACCTTAATGTCTTGTCATCCTTGTGTCGATGCTTCGCTATCGATTATGTTTGTTATCCTGCTTTGATTGTCAATATCACTGTTAGGTGTGGTGTTTTGTCATCATTGATGTTTTGTCATCATTGTTGATGTTTTACCATCATTCTTGAGATGTTGCTATCGCTGCTGATGTTTTGCCATCTAGTTTGATGTTTTGTCGTCTTGTATGATGTTTTGCCATCTTGCTTGATATTTTATCTTGTTGACTAAAAAACACAAACCAACCAAAATTATTAAGCAGAACTACAACTACTTTGATTCCTTAAAAGGGATACATAAACATAGGTTTTTTGTGGGGCCTAATCGAGCATATCTTTGTAAATATTTTCTTTTCTTTTCCTCACACTTTCTTTTTGTTGTACCCCAAAATTTGCCCTCCCATATTCATCAAGAATTGTCAAAGTCAAAGTCACAAAATTCCCCCAGGGTTGTGCAGCTCAACTGTCTCCTATACAGTCAAAACTAGGGTTTGAGTTCTGGTCAAGCAAATGAACTTTTCAAAGGCCCAATCAAGTCTCATATGCCTACAAAGATGGTCAAGTATCCTCATATCAAGTTTCAAGGCATTCAGCTCAAAATTGCACAGTCAAAACCCTAGATTGCACTACAGTCAACTGTAGGGGCAAAATGGTCATTTGACAGTCAAAAGTTCAAATTTTTGGTCAACATATCATTTTGAAGCCACAAACATCATCTGATCAATGATTGATCATGATTCTCAAAATTTGGCTCAGAAATCATCAAAGATGCAAAAGTTGCTATATTTGGACAGTTGAAAAAGTCAACTGAAATTGACCAGGGCATAACTTTCACATGGATTATCAGAAAAATTCCATCCAAAGCTCATTTTGAAGAGAAAGACATTTCCTACAATTCATCTTCATGTTCCAAGCCCAAGAAATGCTCTCACAAAAAGTTATCAATTTCAACATTATAGGTCATTTTCAAAAGTCAACAAAAAGGGACTTTAAGTCAAAGGCCATAACTTGAGATTGGTAAATCAAAATGACATGGGACCAAAGGCATTGGTTAAAGGACTCAAAGACCTTTCCAAAATGTCCAAGAACATGTGAAAAGCTTAAAAATTGACCAAGTTATGCCTTGTGGAAGTTGGGAAATTTTTGGGAATTTTGAAAAGTCAACAATGGTTCAAATGATCCAAAAATGCAAATGGGCCCATTTTTCTTCCAAGTTTCTTCATGCCAAGCCTATGCACGACCACTAGGCCCAAAGGGAAGTATTCTCATATTTTTTAATTATTTATTTGAATTAATATTAATTTATATTCATTTAAATGATTTTAATATATGAAAAATATCAAACTTAACCTAAAAAAATCTTTTCATGCATGTTTATTCTTAATATTTCGTGCATATCTTAAATAGGCAAGATTTGGTGCTAATTGATCATGATTGAACCAAAATGCATGAGAAAAAGATTAGAAAAGATCCTTAACAAATCAAAGATTGAAATCATCATGGCAAAGGATTTTGTGCAATGTTTTTTAACCTAATAGCCTCTATACATACTCAGGATCATAACCCTAATTATCTTAGACTGCAAGCTGCGCCCCAAGAACATTTGCCATATTGAAATTTTTCACAAAAAACTCAAGACTGAAAACTAGCTTTTAGGTCGATTCAAGCTTTAATTTTTGTTCCATTAGCATCCTCAGGCACTCTTGATCAAATTCCAACCAAGAACATCCATTGAAACGCCCTGAAACGGTATCACGACCTCAAACTGTGAAGCAAAAATTTCCAAATCGCATATCATAATTTACGCATCATTGTATATTTTTATTCATGAATTCTTGTTCAATGTGTAATTTGCAAGCTAACCATAACTTTTGATTGAAGTTTCGTGCGTTTTTGGCCAAGTTACCATGTTTGTTCTTTAGGGTTTTCAGAAGAAAAAATTGGGGCTTTGTCAATACAGTAAAATTGGCCTTTGAAACCACCATGGTTGAACTCAGCGTGTTCCCATGAACAAGAAACATACCTCGCGATGGATTTATGTATCAAAGAGGGCTATTCGCTATTTTCTTGAATCCCCCCTAATGCAACGTTTCTAAAACCGTTGCCAATATGTTTCATGTTTCAGGAAAACGAAGAAGAAGGAGTCGTGTCAGAACGTGATTGATCCATTTGAATTTCGCGCGAATTTCCAAAAGCATTGGCGTTTTCTTTTTATATTATTTATTGCTTATTATTTGTTAATTGAAACGCGCTTGGCTCAGTGGCAACACGCTACGCTTGTAACCTTCAAGACCTGGGTTCAAGTCCCAGGTCTGGCAAAAATTCCATGCTATTTTTCAATATGAGATCCTATACTTTGCTAATGTCCAGGTGCACCATATTTCCTCACCATCAGGCAGCCCACGTGTCCAGGATCTCTCACTCAAGGCAGAAGATTGGGGTACACCCTAGGCATGAGTCAAAGCATCACACACAATCCAAAAAGTCAGCAAATTTCAAATCTTGTTGGGCCAGAATTACCAGGCCTATACCTCCTGATTTTGGGACAACACCCCACCCTGGTTTGAAATTTCATTTATTTCCCTTATATCTTTTTAATTCTTATTTTATTTATTTATTGTTTTAATTCAGTAATATTTTTTTATAAAAATATAAAAATCAGAAAAAGACCAAAAAATAATATTTATTTTATTATAATTATTTTTAGCGTGTAAATAAACTAGTTTCAAATTAGGTTTAATTTATATTTTTTCCTTAACAAAAAAATCCAACAAAATAGAATTAGGTTAATTGATATTTTTTTTTTATTCCTTTTAATATTTTCCCTTTTTTAGAATAATAATATTGTTTATTTATTTTCATAAATTAAAAATTGCACATAAATAAATTAGGGTTTAATTTAGATCTTAATTTAATTCTTTCTTAATAATTAAAAAAATATTAGAATTAGGGTTTGCCTTTTAATTTAATTTCAATTAATTCCTTTTTCTCATTAAATCTAAAAAACACAAAAATACCATTTAATCATTTAATCTTTAATTCTCATTAATTTTAATTGTTTGCAAAAGGGTCCAACGCCCTAGTTTTGTTTAATTCCTTTATTTCGCGCATTTACTTTTTATCGTTTATATAATTATGTAATTGTCCCTAAGCCATGTAATTTTACTTCTCGCACTTTATTTCTTCGCATTATCTATTTTTCCGCTAAATCGGGTCCGGTTTAATTTTGGCGATGTGGACCCGCGCCATTTGTAATAATTTAGATTTATGTCCTCGCAAAATATTTAACTGTTAACCAAGCATGAAAGAA